GTGATTTACATTTTAAGTTCAGTCACCTAAGACTTAGGAAAATTATGCTTAAGAAAACTGTGACAGTTACAGTAGTTTTGCTCTACAAAACAGGGGAGTTGGACCCAATGTCAATATTGAAAATGGGGGGCGGGGGGCTGTACAATGAGATAACAATATTCTTTGCACATGAGGAAGAGAAACTAGTGTGTCTACCTTAAAGGAGACATTTCTTCAAGGGTGGTAGGGATGATTTCTTTTGTGTTTATTAAGGTTTTTCTATTAACCCCTGCACACTTATATCTCACTAGAGGAAATTTTTCTGGCACAATGTGAAGTGCTGTTTACCTTATAAGTATATTTTAAATAATTATAAATTCACCATCTTCTTTCAGAGTGAATGTGCTTATGATCCCAAACATATCAAACTAAATTATTCAACGTTTTCAATCCTACCACAAACATTTTATAAAAATCAGTGAAAATAAATTCCAGGTCATTAAAGGGGAAGTTGGGTTTGGAGTGACTCTCAGTGTTTGTCTGAAGTATCCATTAAACCCTGAAGTCTTTCCATCAGACACAGCTTTGCAGCCACATCAGAAATGAACTCTTCAGATCTTGCACTGAATGATACAGTTTTACTTTTCTCTCCTGCATTAAGTTTTCCTTCCTTCCTTTCTTTTTTTCTTGCCATTTTTTCTTAGTAATCCACTATACAGATACTTTTTCTCTACACCACTTCCCTTTTGAAACATTAAACTGACACTGGAACTGACTGCACAAGATTGCATTTTCTCTTCCTAAACAAGTTGAATTGAAAGGTTACTTAGTGTAACAATATTTACTTGCAGAATTGTGTTGTTACCAAGGGTATAATGGATGGTGGCTATGCAGGTTTACGCAAGAATGAGTGAAGCATGAGGCATTAGCCATGTGTTTGACATGTTTCAAATTGCTATAATCCAGCATTAAACACACCCAGCAATTCATGCCATTTCTTGCAGCCATAATCTTGAATAAAGCGTGCACAACCACTTATTATATAAATTAGTATATGACTCCCTGTTATAGTCACAACAGTGCTTTTGTGTTTATTTTGCATCAAGATGTAGTCTTTTATTTGTACAAATAGCAGGATATAAAGACATAGCTCAATTAGACCTCCTTACTTTATGATAGGGTAGTACTGAATGCTACACTTGTTGGTTTTATTTTTTCCTCTTGAAGTTATAGATGAATTTGGTATGAAACTGTACTATGTGAGATAGTTATGTGCCAGAGTGATGACAGAAACCTGCATGCATCCTATTCCACATTTGCTGCACTGTTCCAAAGTGTGAAACTTGACCTGGGTGAGTAGAGTTAATTGTGTTATCCCAACCACCACCAGGGACACTATTGGACCTTGTTGCTTACTCAACTTCTCTTCTCTCGTGTCTTCTACCTCACAAATTCTCTCTCCCTCTCATCTTCCTTATATTTCTTGCTTCTATCTCTCTTCCACTATACATCCCACTGATGCATTACTGTTTGTGTATGTATATGTATTTATTATGACCAGAGAAGTAGATCAGTCTATTTAACAAGTGTCTCAAAAACAGTAAGAAGGAAAAAGTAACCTTCATGTCCGATAACACACTCCTTTCTACATATATAGAAACCTTGTCTCATGTCTGAAGCCTTAATTGCTATTAAGGTCAACTTAATAGTAAATTTTTCTTTTGTTTGTCACATTAATGTTTAATAAAATCAAATGAGTGAAAAATCAATGACTTCCTGAAAAATTAAGAATAACAGCACACATCAAAAGCATAAAGGAATTTCAGTTTTTCTTAAAATTACTCATAGTGATAGCAAGAGAACTCTATATTCAGCTTCTGATTTATTACAGCATCGAATTTATTTATCAAAGCATGCTCCCTAAATCAAAAGTTTTGATTCTGTCATTTAAGATATAAGCCACCATATTAAAGCATCATTATTTTAAGCATGCCATATTAATCATTTCAAAGTTCTAAGTATTAAAGTCATTTGCTATTTCCATGTGAATTTAGAAAAGAATAGGTCAGAAATATACACGTAGGCAATAGGAAACTAAGTTCATTTACTTCTGAATTCAGCTGAATTCAGCTCTGAAAATTTCACTATGATGTGCAACTTATAAAAGAAACAAGAATTTAAATAATGATAACTTTTGTGCTCTAGTGGAATTAATCCGTCGTATACTCCATGCATAGTGCATTTGAAACCCACTACCGCTTTGCTCAAAGTCTTTAATGCTAAGATTGCCTAATAAATCAAAATGCCAAATATGAAGGACATACGTGAATGTGTAAGGGTAAAAATTGAAAATGTACATGACTGTTTCTAATTTTTAAGACAGGAACTGGGTGCTCTAGGGAACATAATATAAAAGAAGCCAGAGGAAGTGATAAAATGTTTGTTATAACAAAAGATGTGATTACAATTAAATTTAAAAGTATTTCTCACTTTATTTTTTCAGATGTGAACATAATCCCTA